CAGACTTAGGTCCCAGCAACGACGACGACTATACTAGAATTACGACTACGACCACGACACGAGTACGGCTACGACTACGACTGCGAGTCGCTGGCGACGGCGACTACGACTACGACTACGACTTCGATTGGGACTACGTTTACGTCTACGACGATATTAAAGAAGACACTGTGAGCATCGTCCCCGGCGACGAGTGTGCCGATCTATATCTTTATCTATGTGTATATATATGGGTGTGTATATAGATATATACTGCAATATATTTATATGTATATATCTGTATATCTATATATATATATATATATATGAAGATATTGCAATCCTCTTACAGGCGTGTTCGAAATGCCTCTGTCGTGCAGGGGCGCTCGGAGAGCATTCTTCGCCGGGCGAAGGAGCACCCCGACAGTATCCAGCACGGCGAACAATAGTGGAAAATGAATCGGTGGGAGATGTGGATGTCGATTGTGGATGTAGCAGCGTGTAGTGCAAACTTGCAAACGCAACGAAATTAAGAAGAAGATTATGAGCAACGCCTTCGGCGAAGAATGTGACGATCCACACACCAATCCTCCGATGAATATGCTCAAAATCCCTCTGTCGTGCAGGGTCACCCAGGGAGCATTACTTGCTGGGAGGAATCATCTCCAACATCATCCAGCGCGGCGAACACTAGTGGGAAACTCATCGGTGGCCCGGGACGCGGGCGCCGACGACGAAGATGTGGACGTATCTTGTACATGTGTCGGCATCTATTACAATCGCACTGCAACTACGACGAGATGAAAGAGAAGGTTGTGAGCGACGCCTTCGGCGACGAATGTGACGATCCATATAGCAATCCTCTGACACATGTACTCAAACTTCTTCTGTCGTGCAGGGTACCCCAGGAAGTATTATTCGCCGGGGGAAAGATCCCCCCAACACTATCCAGCACGGCGAGGAACAGAAGGAGGAGAAGGAGGAGGGAGCAGGAGGAAGAGGAGGAGCAGGCGGAGGAGGAGGAGGAGGAGCAGGAGCAAGGAGGAGGAGGGGCGAGTTTATTCCCCGCCGAAAGAAACAGGGCTGGGGGCAATAGCGACAAACCTCCGGAGGTTACCAATCTGAACCCGCTGGAAGGAACCCTACTTTACCACGCATCCAGGGACAATGAGCGCGCGTAGGTTCCAGCCAAGGGGTCCGCATCGCATCTCGTCAAATGTTTCAGGTTATTGACGTGGATGGGGGATGAAAACTGAGGCTGGTGGAGGAGGAATATACTGGTGGACCATGAGGGCCGATGGGGAATGTGCATCGGGAACTTGGAGTGTGCTCCAGAATGGGAAGGGGAGAAAAGGGGGAGAGGAAGGGTGATGTGGGAAGAGCAAGAAGGATCGCTTCTGCCTCCTCCTCCGCCTCCCTCCTCCTCCTCCCCCGCCTCCTCCTCCTTCTCCTCCTCCTCCGCCTCCTCCTCCTCCTCCTCCTCCTCCTCCTCCCCCTCTCCGACGACGACTACGGAGACGACGACCGACGTCCTCCAAAAACCTGGAGAAGTCTACAGAGGACTGGGGAGGTCCGCGGCGCCCTCCGCGGTGCGCCCCAGCGTTCCTCCGGCTTGCCCGGTCTTGGCTCCTCACGAGGATGCTTCTCGGGGGTTGCCCAGTCTTGTTTGCACCAGGGCGTTCCCAGGGGCTGGCTAGCTTCATGTCCGTGCAAAGCGCTGCTGTCCGGTTGTCCGGTCACCGGGTTGCCCGGGTTGCCTGGCTTGCCCGGGTTGCCCCGTTGCCCAGTTTTCCAGTTCGCCCGAGTTGCCCAGGTTGCCACGGTTGCTCAGGTCGACCTTGTTGCCAGGGTTGCCCGGGTTGCCTGGGTTGCCCGGTTGCCCGGGTGCCACGATTGCCCAGCAGCAATGCAAAGCAATGCCAAGCACTGCGTAACAATGCGCCCATGCGATAGGAAGCCTTCCCCAAATTGGGGTCACGCCGGGTCCATGTTGATTTGTTGTGATGCTCTCTATTGCAATATCGAGCTGCCTTGTGTCCATCCCGCCATCTTGCTCGGGTCATGGAACAGGGGCGCGTTAGATGCATCTAGGAGTCTACTGGGGGTATCTGGCGGGCCTCTTGGGGTGCCGTCCTCGGGGATGTCTCTTGGGATCTATTGTGTCTCTCTGGGGGTCTTTGGAGCCGCCCTCTAGGAAGCTTCGTGGGGGCTTTTTCAGGGGCGACATTGGAGGCCTCTTGGGCCGCCTTGTAGCGTCGGGCGTCCGAAAGGGCGAGAATGCAAAAGTTTTTCACAAACCTACCTCCATTCAATTCTTTTGGCCTCTCGGAGCCCTCTTGGAAGCGATCTTGGGGCTCTCTTGAGGCGTCTGTCGGGCCCCGTGGGCGGTCCTGGGGCTGCCTTGGGCTGATGCGCCAGCCGGCGCGCTCGGTAGGACCGGGGCCCGTCCCCAGAGCACGGAACTCTCCCCAATAGGCCCTGGAGGGTCGGGGCACTGGTTCTGGCGCCCCGCGCCTCGTTGTTTGTTTGTTTTGTTGTTGTGACGTGTGTATATATATATATATACATACATACATACATACATACATACATACATACATACATACACACATACATACATACATACATACATACATACATACATACATACATACATACATACATACATACATACATACATACATACATACATACACACATACATACATACACACATACAGACATCTATACATATATATACCCTCCAAGTGATCATACAATTTGCCTTGCGTTCGGCGAGTCCTGCTTGTTCTTCCTCTTCCGTCGCCGCCCTCACTCTCCTCCTCTCTTCCGCTCCCGTCCTCAATGCTCTCTTCCGCCCTCGTCCCTGCCCTAGAGGTCCAAAAAGCCACCCCCGAAATAACCACCCCGACACGCGAAGCCGTTTAGTAAACGCGCCCAAATGAATCGAACAGGGCAGGGCTGTTTAGTAAACGCCCAAGGCCGTTTACTAAACTCCAACTGTCCGGTCGCAAGAGTTTCACGGATGGAGGACGGTTCCTCTTCAAAATGTGGCTCTCGCCGTGGCGCCGCGCACACTCGTTCTAATACTTTGCAGCAGCTTCAAGGATTCGGAAGGTTGACGGCCCAGAAACTGGATTGCTTTGGTACGATGTCGGAACGTCAGGGTGCAACAGTCAAGTTGATCCGTGGTGTTGAAGTCCGTGGAATGGTGTTCTGGGTGGCTTTTCCTCCCTTGATGCTCGCCGCATGCTTCGTCGCTCTGCAGCTCGTGCTGCGGATCCGATGGCAGCCAGCAGCCCAACTCTCGCACAGCGCCTGCTCCAATCCACGTGGCCACCAGCAGCACAGCTTCCACTGATGGGCTCATTATCCACCACCACTACCATATTTAGGAGAGGGAGGAGGAGGAGGAGGAGGAAGAGGAGGAGCAGGAGGAGGAGGAGGAGGAAGAGGAGGAGGAGGAGGAGGAGGAGGAGGAGGACCTCGTCCTCCCTTGTCCCCCGTCCTGCATATGGTAGTGGTGGTGGAAAATCTGCCCATATACAGCTCCGACCAAAGCTATCGACACATTGCCAACTACAGCCTCTAGTGCAGATCTCCGACATCTCCCACTACAGCTCCAACTCAACTCCCTACCGCGATCAGTAAACCAACTCCCACTACCCCTTCTACGACAGTTCCTGCTAGAGTTCAGTACAGATCTGTGTGCAACTCGCATTGTAGCTCCTATTACAACCCACAGCCCTACCCGTAGTACAATCACAGCTCCTACCACTGCTTATCATGCAGTTTCTGCTCCAGCGTATGCTGCAGTTCTACCACATCCCTGAAACAGCTCCCAATATAATTACTACTGCAACCAATCGCACAACTAAGCACAACTAAACTCCCGCTGCACCTCCTACACCAAGGAATTAGTTAGCTCTTACTACCGCCCCGCCTCCGATACTTTCTACTGCCCATCATACAGCCCTTACTGAAACTCACACATACACCCCGAAAGCAGGCAGCAGCAAAGGTCCCACAACAGGTCCTCCTACCATTCCTGCAATAACTAATTTTATCATTTCTGCTACACGTCCTGCTGCATATCCTAAGACAGCAACCAATACAACTTCCAGTACAAGCTTGGCAACACCTCCTGCGACGGTTAAACTCACACCTCTCAGTACATCTCCTGGTGCAGCTCCTACTGCAGGCTTTACTGCAAAGTCTACAACACATATTACGACAGTTCCTACTGCAGTTACCTTGCACAACCAATCGACCAGATCATGCCAAAGCTGATACTCGGGTCAGTAATGCGGTTCGATCGAGTTAGAGGCCATACTAGAGACTCCCTACTGCAGTCCCTGCAAAAGGTCATACTTCATGTTTGGTTACAGCCTGTAGTACAGCTCCCCCACAGCTTCCACTACAAGTCTTACACCAGCTCCTGCGACGGCTCATATGACGAATCCTGCCACTGATAGTAGCACAGAGTTAAGTACAGACCCTTTGTGACTCCCTACTAGAGGTAATCTTCTAGCCACCATTACACAGTCTGCATCTCTTCTCACAAATCCATACCATACGTCATATTCTACAACAGTGCTACACATTTGACTATAAGTCACACTGCTGTTTATGCGGCATTCTGAAAAAAAAAAAAAAAAAAAAAAAAAAAAAAAAAAAAAAAAAAAAAAAAAAAAAAAAAAAAGCGCTCCCACTACAGTTCCTACGGCAACTCCGGCGACAGCTCCTTCTCCAGCCATCTACACATCTCAACGAACCTCCAACTGCAACTCCACATGCAATTCCTAGTGCAGCCAGACGCAATCCTCAAATCACAGCTCATTCTACAACGCATACTGCAGATATTCATGCAGGGCCCAAAAACAGCCCCGAAGAGGGCCCTACGAGGCGGGGGCAGGGGTAATTGGGGACCACCACTTCTTCAGAGGCCCCGAGAGTCCCACGAGAGCCTCAAAGGCTCCCAAAATGACCCCAAGAAAACTGCATTGTCGGGCCCCGATGTCCAGCATTGCCAGTGCTTCGGCCGCGGTCTGGGCTACGAACTCGTTCGCCTTGGCGGGGTCTCGCGGCATTGCGAAGTCCTCTATGAAACCGATCACGTCCGAGACGAAGGCCTGCACGGAGCCCTCGAGGGTCTCGCCGCCCACCTCGATGGTGCCGCGCGAGGTCACCGGCACGCCAGCCTGCGACCCGCACAGGCGGTCGACAAGGTAGACGGACTCCTCGCGCACCCAGCCCTGGCCTGTGCGCAGGCTCTTCCTCGGGAGCATGGAAAACAGCACCAGCATGCACAGAGCACGCCCGCCCGAGCACAATAGACGCATACGATAAGAAATCTTGCAGTAAATTATGCTAACGGAGTTCCCCACATAAAGATATTGACGGTTTCGATACCCTCCTCGCTCAGACGGGGCCTCCCTGGAGGGGTGGGAGGGGCACGAAACCATGTAAATAGTAAGGGTTTCCGATGCCCTCCTCGCTCAGGCGGGGCCTCCCTGGAGAGGCGGGAGGCGGGAGGGAGGAGAGGACGTTCTGGGAAAACGAGAACCCCACTCAGCATGTGGGGAAAAATCCTGGGGCACATTCTTCAATCTTTCAGGGCTCAAAGGGTGCCCCAAAACTCCTGTGGGCCTCAAAGGGACATCGGGGGATGAAGGCCATTACGTGGGGCACCTGCCAGCAGGCCGACTTCTTACTCGACGGGCCTGCCGTAGGATCTCGACCACAGAACACCTTCCACAAGAAACCCAACACTGAGACCCCAGGACATCCATGGTCTTTTGTGTGGGAGCATCACGATCCTTCGCAAAACCATCGAAGCCCAAGAAAACCAGGGCACCTTGGAGGCAAGCAGAGTGTTTCTTGGCATGGGTTTCCACTGTACTGTGCGTCGGGGCGACGTACGACTCGGGTACGGGGGACTCGGGTTGGCCTGACAGGGCCATCATGATAATGACGAGACCCAAACTAAAATTTGACGCGACCTCCCGCTGCAAACATCCCACGAAAACTGGACGGTCAAAATCCTGGACGCGCTCGTCAAAAACGTCGGCAAACCCGAGATCCGGCTTACTCGAGTCTTACGTTTCCCCGAGTAAGGCCATTTCCCGCCAGCGTCAAAGCATTTCAACGCACCCCAGGGTGCCGCCTTCGGCGACACCTCAATGGCAGATTCGCGCGTCGGGGGAGCATGCGGTGGGGGTCTCGACGCCGTCCGAGGTCTGCCGTCCGCGGACGACCAGGCTATATTCCCAAAGCGGTGCTTGCATTCTGGTCTCTTCCTTCGGTCGTAAGGGCAGGCTATGGTCCGCAAGGAAGGTTTGGCCACCATGGCCTCCCGGCCATGGGGTCCCTTGCACCACTTGAGTTTGGGGTGCCACAGGGCTCCACACACAAATGGCACCACATGGGTGGCAACGTATCCGTTACACCACGTGCTCAAGTTATACCGCGCGCGCTGCATCACGTAGACATCACATAGACTGCATGCTATGCGTTGTGATGCCACATGCGCTTCACCACCCAAGTCGCGCCACACCCACACACATGTGCATATATGCATATATATATGTATAGATATATACATATGTACGCAAGCTCCACCACCCAGACCTCACGGCACAGATCATACCGCATATGTTGATCGAAAGATATTGCACCATACAGTGCGCACTACAAGCATTGCACCGCATATGCTACATCAAGCAGGTTCAGTGTGCAGGAGAAGAAACAAATTTTACCACCACCCCCGTGTACGGGGCTACCCCCCCCGCTTGTCGCATTATTTGCATATGATGCTGCAACACTCTTAAATTCCCCACTGAAGCCGCACCATGTAAGCCCGACTGGTATCGACTCCCCCGTTTATCCCTGCCAAATAACAGTATGCGCGCACGCTCGTTCATCTCTGAAGCTCGTGCTGCGAGAGCCCCGTGCAAGCAAGAAGCAGGATATCTGTCTACACACGCGCGCACATCGAAACGATATCAGCACACATTGCTGTCGCAAGCAAGTTGTTCTGTCCGCGCGCACGAGTTGAAATCACTGGAAACGCAAACGAGTTTGACAATCTTGCCCAGAAGCCGCATTCTCATCTCGACGAGCGGTGCACCTGCATTGATCTAGCATGCGCCACGTGCCCGAATCCGTATCAAATAACACCATCTGGGCCACGGGCGCGCGCCGCCAAGCGCGCGTCGAACTTATTCCAAAACCATTGGTCCTCGACGCATTTCGAACTAGTGTTTGTCAAAACGTCGTTCAACCAAAATTCTACCAAGCTTCCTGAGTGTCTGCCGCATCAGTTGTGCTAAACCGCTGGCCGTTTTGCGCGCAAGCGTATGCGCGGCAACGCGGCCATAAAGACTAGCTAGCAAGTGCCAAGCAGCCACCGCAATCGCGGCCGGGTAAGCTTTGCAAAAACAGTTGTGGGTGGAAGGGTGGGATGCTTGCGCGAGCAGTGCAGTCGGCAATTCACGATTGACTTCGTGCAGTTGCACCACATATGCGTCACCGCATACATCGCACAGATGGGTTACGCCACATGTATTTCAGCATCGTTATCGCACGCACTGCGCCGCATAGACCGCACCATACATCAATACATATACATGTACACCTATGTATATATATACATGTAGATACATGCATGTCTACCGTAGCAACCCGCAGATGTGGATAATATTGAGGGGGCAGTCAGAACGTCGGCAGTCTGCGAGACTGCGGTGAAGCCCGCCGCAGTCGCCCAATATTCACAAATTATACAACTAGCCCGCCGTAGGCGCCGACTTTTTTTTTTTTTGTTCCAAACCAATGCGGATCGGTCGCGGGTGGGTCGCGCGTGGCTCCCGGGGTGAATCGCGGGTGGGTCGCACGTGGATCGCAAGTGGGTCGCAAGTGGGTCGCGGGTGGATCGCAACTGGGTCGCGGGGTGGGTCGCGGGGTGAGTCACGGGTGGGTCGCGGGTGGGTCGCGGGTGGGTCGCGGGTGGGGGTGGGTCGCGGATGAGACGCGGATTGGGTCGCGGGTGGGTCGCGGGTGGGGGTGGGTCGCGGATGAGACGCGGATTGGGTCGCGGGTGGGTCGCGGGGTGGGTCGCAAGTGGGTCGCGGGGTGGGTCGCGGGGTAGGTCGCGGGGTGGGTCGCGAAGGGACGACGACAACAAACAACAACAACAACAACGACGACGACGACGACGACAACAACAACGACAACAACAACAACAACAACAACAACAGCAACAGCAACAGCAACAGCAGCAACAACAACAACGCAACAACAACAGTAGCAACAACAACAACAACAATCATTTCAAGACTGTTCGCACTTATCTGCTCGAATGTCCAATAACGCGTATTTCCCAAACCCTCGATACCCGCCCTCTTCGTCTTCGATCGAATCTTTTTTGGGGGGTATACCTTTCTTCCCTGCAGGCCGGGCCCCGGCAAGCGGCGGGGCGGCCGCGGACCGTCGGCCCGGCCAGCGGCAGCGGTGATCGGCGGGGCGGCCGCGGACCGTCGACCCGACCCCAAGAGGGACGGACATGGGACAGACCACGACGACGACGACGTCGACGACGACGACGGCGACGACGACGACGACGACGACGGTGACGACGAGCGAAAGCGAGAGCGAGACAAAACGACAGCAGGGCCACAAGGACACGAAGTAGGCCACGAAGGGCGACAGCGGGGACACGAAGAGAATACGTATGGGGCCACGAAGGGAACGAACGAGCGGGGGGCCCGAAGGGCAGATAATGCGGGGCCACAGAAGGCAACGATGGGGCCACTGAGGGTAGCAACTGGGCCACGTAGGACAATGAGGGGGCCACAAACTGCGACAGCGGGGCCACGAAGGGCATGCACATGGGGCCACGAAGGGCTGCAACGGGGCCACGAAGCAAAGCGAGGGGGCCACGAAGGGCTGCAATGGGGCCACGAGGGCAGCGAGGAGGCCACGAGGGGCTGCAACGGGGCCACGAAGGGCAGCGAGGGGGCCAAAAAGGGCTGCAACGGGGCCACGCAACAAAGCGAGGGGGCCACGAAGGGCTGCAACGGGGCCACGGAGGGCAGCGATATCTCGATTCCGAGGTAATATGTGAGAGAGTCTTAAGCGTGAGCGCGACTCTTGGGTGCCTGGGTGTCGGGAGCGCGGCGCTTGAGTAAATTGTCGGAAATTCGAACGCAAGGGCGCTATTGTTTACAAGCGAGTCCCTAGCGAGAGCGCGGCTCCAGAAGGCCGGGAGAGCGATTCCTGAATACCTTGTAAGGAAACCCCAAGCGAGAGCGCGATTCCTGAATACTATGTAAGGAATTATCGGGCGGGAGCGGGGGTCCTGGGTAAATTGTGAGGACGTCTCAGGCGGGAGCCGTTGATGTTGTAACCCGGGGGCTGGGCGCACAGTTTCAGCATCAAGACGATCCCTGATTTCTTTATAAAAAAGCGAGCGTCGAGGGGCACACTTTGATAGAGAAAAAACAATATGCACCTGTGGGGGATCAACAACAACTATTCTTCAGAAGTGACTGTCCAAGAACAACAACAATCATTCTAAGACTGTTCGCTCTTACTTGCCCGTGTGTCATTCAAAACGAGCTCCCCACACACTCGATACCCGCCCTTTTTTCCTCGATCTCGCCTCCTTTGGGGGGGATTATTTCTCTTTGCGGGGGGCGGCGGGCTTAGACAGGCGGGCAAACCTGAACGGGCGGACAATCCTTCGTGGGCGTACATGCGCCCGCCATTGGAATTGGTGTGGGCCCTGCAAAAAGAGGAAAGGGATAACGAGGAAGAGCGGGAGGAAGGGAGGGGGAGGGACGAAGGAAGAGGGAAAACGCCAGGAGAGCAGGAGCGAAGAGGACGGGTTGATTAGAGGCAGAGAGAGAGAGAGAGAGAGAAAGAGAGAGAGAGAGAGAGAGAAAGAGAGAGAGAGAGAGACAGAGAGACAGAGAGAACAAATAAACGTATAAGAGAGGTAGAGGAAGAGAGAAATAGAGAGGGGAAAGAGAAAGAGAGAGAGAGAGAGAACCAAAAAGAGAGAGAGGGAGGAGGCAGGAGAAGGGAGGGAGGAGGGAGGAAGGAGAGGAGGGAGATGGGATAGGGCAGAGAGGCATAAGGATGAGGGAAGAGAGGAGGAAGAGAGAAGGGAGGAGGGAGGAGGGAGAGGGAGGAGGAGCAGGAAGGTAAGAGCGTGAACGTTCAAGGAAGTCCTAGGCGAAAGCGCCGTTCCTGAAGGAAGCCTCGGTCGGGAACCCACGACGGGCGGGCGATACCCTGACGGGCGGGTCGGGCGGGTGGGACATTCAAGCGGGATGCCTGAGTATGGCGAAAGCGCGATTATTAAGTAACTTGTAACGGCGTCCTTGGCGCAGCTTGTTTGCTGAGCGTCGAAGGCGCGATGTCTGAATACATTGCATGGAAGTCACACGCGAGAGCGCAATTCCTGAATAACATGTGAAGGGCTCTCTGGCGGGAGCGGTGGTCTTGATTCAATTGCGAGGAAGTCTTGACTCAATTGCGAGGAAGTCTCAAGCGGGAGCGCCGTTCCTGAGTTAATTGCGAGGAAGTCTCAGATGGGAGCGGGGGTCCTGACTAAACTGCGAGGACGTCACAGGCAGGAGCACCGATCCTGAGTAAATTGTAAGGAAAACTCAGGAGCGGGGGCCTGAGTAAATTTGGAAGAAATCTCAGGCGGGAGCCGTTGTTGTTGTAATCGTAGGGGCCAGGTGCCCAGTTTGAGCACGAAGACTTCCCCTGTCAAAAAACAGGATGCGAGCGTCGAGGTGCAGACTTTGATTGAGAAAAAACATTGCACCGGTGAGGGGGGATCAACGAACATTGTTCTTCAGAAATAAGGGTTCAACAACAATATCAACAATAACAACAACAACCATGCTAAGTCTGTTCGATCTTACTGGCACGCGTGTTTTGCGCTCCGTATACCCCAACCCTCGATACACGCCCACTTCGTCTTCGATTGCACCCCCTTTCGGGGCGAATCTTCTCCGTGTCGGCCACTGAAGTGCGAGAAAGTCTCGAGCGAGAGCGCCGTTCCTGAGTTTAGGGGCCTCTCTGGCCAGGGGCTCTCGGAATACCGATGGAAAAGTATAGAACGGGAGCCCTTGTCGCCGTGTCCGGGCCTCCACCAACTTGCCTGAATCACGAGAAAGTATCGAGCGAGAGCGCCGTTCCTGAGGTCGGGGGCCTTCTTGGCCAGGGTGTCTCGGCGTAAATCGAGAGAACGTATCGCACAGGAGCACTTGTCGTCGTGGCTGCGCTTCCGCCAACTTGACTGAATTTCGAGGAAGTCTCTAGCGAGAGCGCCGTTCCTGAGTTCGGGGGCCTCTCTGGCCAGGGTGTCTCGGGGTAAATTGTGAGGAAATATCGAGCGGGAGCCGTTGTCGTCGTAGCTGGGCCTCCAAGGGCCCATATTTAGGCTCAAGCCAACGCTCGAGCGGGAGCCTCGTTTTCAAAGAAAATGTAGCCGGCGTCGAGGCGAGAGCGCGCGGAACCGTTTCCAGAGATCAGCAATAATTAGTCTCAAGGAATGAATACTCAACAACGCAACACGCAGAATCCTCACCACGGATTCTCACTTCAGCCACGCACCCAAGGACACTGAATGACCGTTCGGCCCCACCACTCTGATATAGATATACATGTATACTTGTATATCTCTATCTATCTATCTATCTATCTATATATCTATCTATCTATCTATCTATCTATCTATCTATATAAAAATACACGTATCAGCGTAATAGAGCCAGACGGTCATTCACTGTCCCTGGGTGCATGGGTGAAGTGGAGTTCCGCGGCACGGGTTCAGCTTTTGTTTGTGTATTTGCTGTCGTCGTCCTCGCCTGCGATCCGCCCGCGACCCACCCGCGACCCACCCCGTGACCCACCCCGCGACCCAAACGCGACCCACACGCGACCCACCCGCGGCCCAAACACGACCCATGCGACCCACCAATATTGATTTGACGAAACGTCGGCGCCTGCGGCGGGCTCGGTATATAAGTTTGGAAAAATCGGGCTCTGCGGCAGGCGGCTTCTCCAGAGCTTCGCAGACTGCCTACGACCCAGCCGCCCTCTCAATCTTATCCGCAACTGCGGGAGCGATGGTATAAAACAATCAGTTTGCATCGCACAGGTTGCACCCCCATGAGTTACATTATTTCACGCTTCGGGATCCAAGCAGAAATCATGTTTGCATGGTGATATCTCCAGAAGCTTCAAAGCAAGCTTCGAAAAAGCACGAGGACTTCTTAGAGGCGGAATGATGCCTTCTGAGAATGCCGCGCCTCTTCTCCGGTCCCCATTTGGTGCGCCGACGACTTCCTCTCGAAGTGCTCACCTCTTACCGGCTTGAATATCGCGATCTTCTCGTCGCCGACGGTGAGCGCGAACACGTCACCTGTCTGCCCGTGGTCGAGGCTGACCGGCAGGACGTTCTTTTCGTGGACCCGCGAGTTCAGCCGCTCGCGCGAGGAACACGCAAGCACATCACCTGCGGACGAAATCCATCATAGAAGAAGACCACAAACACATAAACATAAGCTTTTGACGCTCCGCGCGGATTTCTTGGATCCGCGCTGTGCCCCGCTCCCTGGCGCGCGGAGCGCGCCAGGGGCGGCGCCAGAGGCGCCGCCGGGGGGCCCAGCGCGGATCCAAGAAATAATCCGCGCGGAGCGCCAAAAGTTTATGCTGATGTGTTGTTTTCTTCTTCGAATTCTCTCTCTCTCTCTCTCTCTCTCTCTCCCTCTTCTCTCCGCGACCCTCCCCTGCGCGCGAAGCGCGTGGGGGGGGGGGGGGGCGCGGGGAGGGGGAGAGCCGCCGTGCGCGGACGTGCGAAGCCCGCGCCTCCACGCGGGGGACGAACAAAAAACGGGTCTCACGCAAGATGGCACAGCGACCTTAACTGACTACCTACCAGACCACCCCAACCCAACCCGAAGACCCGAATTTCGGGTTGGGGGGGGTACGGGTTCCATATGTGTTTTCTCGATGTTCCCCGACCCCCCCCCACTGGAAATGGAGGTTAATTTGAGGCCTTCGGGTTGGGTTGGGGTGGTTTGGTGGGTGGTGATTAACGCGGCGGCTTGCGCGCTACATTGGGCTGGGCATTTTCACAGGGTGGAGGGCCCCAGGTGAAATCCATGTGGGCTCTTGCACCGCGAAAACCAATCCGTCTCGTGATTCACCTTGTGCGATTCGAACCTCGAAGATCAATGGAAAAAATGAATGTCAGATCTCAACCTTCGCCCCCCACCCAAGAAGAAAAGGCTCGATTGGAGAACAGGGCGCTCATGCGCGACCTTCCGCGGGCAGCTCACGCGCCGAGGTCGGCGCGTGACGACCCGGTCTTCTCGCGTCGCTCGCGCGCTTTCGGGCCTCCGACCTCCCGCCGCGAGCGCTGCCTGCTCCATGGGCACGATCCCTGCCAGCTGCATGGTGTCAGCGCGGCGGATCCCCATGCCAATCGAGCTCGTCCTTGAAGGGGCCCTGAGACACACAAATAAATACATACAAATAATATAATCCCCCATATTTTCCCATATGTTCTGGGTTTCTGTCTTCCCGCCCAGTTCCCATATTTTCCCATATTTTCTGGGAAATCCAGGAATAATTGTGTCTGTGTGTTTCTTTTCCTCCTGAGTCCTCCCCATCCGCCCGCCCAGGGAAGACGACACCGTCCCCTCAAGCCGCTCGGCGTCCCTGGTCTCCCGGGCCTGCAGGGCGGCCGGCGTCAGTTTCTGGTCGTCGAGCTGGGGGCAGTAGGTGTCCAGCTTGCGGAGGGGCGTCACCTGCAGCTCCTGCCCCGCTCCTGAGAATCGCTCCACCGATCCCAGTCCCCACTAGCATGGCCTTGGTTCCACTGGCAGACTTACTCGCCTAGATGGGGATATATGTTCCAGGGCTCAGGGCCCACGGCCCCCTGCCGATCACCAGAGGGGATGGGACCGGGGGGGCGACGACGACGACGACGAAGACGAGGACGACGACGACGACGACGACGAAGACGACGAAGACGACGACGACGACGACGACGACCACGACGACGACGACCACGACCACGACGACGGCGACGACGGCACCGTAGCACCACCCCAGACCCAAAGGGGGGGCCCATCGGGGATGGGTGGTGGGACGATCCCATTACGTAGCATGGTGGGGAGGACCACACCCTGGAACATATGGCGGGTTCCGGAAACCATGAACCAAACAACCTTGCCATCTCTTGGGGAACCAATTTTCCCTTCGGCTGGTCTCTGCTGCACTTCCGCCCGCGGAGGCGCCCTCGCTTTACTTCTGCCGCCTTCCACCGCCCTTCCGCCGCCCTCCGCCAAGGAAGAGACGGCAACCCCTTCGGCACTCGAAGGCGAGGCCCTTCTGGAAAGCCTCATGCTTGCGAGGACTACCCCCACGCTGGAGGGTGGACTGGTGGGGTCGAGATGCCCTGGCCCCGTGGGGATGGAGATAGATGCGGAGCTCCTTGCGCGCCCAGCGGCAGCGAGTTCATGATCCCGGCCAGGGGGCCCTGCATCGTGCAGGTGGCGGTGCGGGGCAGGTCCGCCTCCCCTGGCCCGAGGATCTTGTCCTCCCGGAGCGGCGCCTGCTGAGTGGCGGCCCTCGGCAGCAGGCCGTCTTGGCCCGCCTGCACGTGGAGGGCCTTCCACTGCACCGGCTTGCGGAGGCCCAGGGCCGGCCCCCGGGCGCCCTCCCCGGCGCCCTCGATGGCGTTCTTGTCGACGGCGCCGTGCTCGGCACCGGACGGCACCCTCGCCGTCAGGGCGCTCAGGGTGCGCGCGCCCAGGCCCAGCCCGGGCTCGCACCGCCAGGAGCTCCAGGGGCAGGTGGAGCACGTCGGCCGCACCTTGTGGGGGCACGCCAGCGAGGCGGAACGCTCCTCACAAGCGGCGGACACATCCACAGCCACGCCCTCGTGGCCAGGATGCCGAGGCGCGATCCCACGGGTGCGCTTCGCGCGTGGCATCCGCGCAGAAACGCCATGTATCCCTAGCGTCGTGCCCTGGGAGTCCAGACCACGTGGCCGTGGACATGGGTCTGATGTCCCAGCCACGAGAACATCGATGATCATCAGAACGTGCTAGCGCCAACGTGTGCTTGTCCACCGAAGCCCTCCGACACGGCGCAGGCGGTGTCATGAGGGCCGGCGCAGGCTGCGCGCTGTTGGCGAAGATGAACGGGGTAAACATGGACTGGGCTACAGTGCGGGCGCGGCCGCAAGAAACTCTCTCAAGAAGCCCAACCCTGAGAACCCGTGCGCGAGGTGCACCTGGGGGGAAACCCGGAGCACTCTGAACGCAGCAACTCCGTCAACGGCTGCGGGAAGTCACCGCGCAGCGCGAGGAGCGAAGAAACCCAGGATACCCTGACGAAAAGCACATGGTTTTTGATGCGAGCCCCCGCTGTAACACACGTCCTGATGATCATCGAAATCGGCAGGAAGGCTGTGAACGATGCGGCTAGGAAGTTGGCCTAAAGGAGCCCTCGACTCAACTGCCATGGCTCCTCCAGAAGGCGCTGGAAAGGTGCACAATTCTCCCCCCCCCTCCGTTTGACCACCCCGAACACCGTGTGGCCGAGCACCCGGACGAGCGCCTCCTGGCCTTTCTCGGCAACCCGCCTGGCCTCATCCTCTGGGAGCTCGAGGAAAGCGATTAGATCCGTGACATGCTCCGGGTCCGCGACCTCCTCCAGGAAGACAGCGCCCTCCCGGTCGCACCAGCGCACCGCGTCCGAGAGGCGCTCCGGAAGACCGAGCGCGGCGAGCCACGCGGACAGGTCCTATCCACAGAGGGCGGAGGAGGAGGAGGAGGAGGAGGAGGAGGAGGAGGAGGGGAGGAGGAGGGGAAGGAGGAGAAGGAGGAGGAGGAGGAGGGAGGAGGAGGAAGGAAGAGGAGAGGGGGGGAGGAGGAGGAAGGAGGAGGAGGAGGAGGAGGAGGAGGAGGAGGAGGAGGAGGAGGAGCAGGAGGAGGAGGAGGAGGAGGAGGGAGGAGGAAGAAGAGAAGAGGAGGAGGGCACCTGCACACCAGCACCTGGGCCTTGGCCAGGGCGGCCCTGGGTCCCCAGGCACGACGCACGCGCCCTCCTCCTCCTGGCTGGGGGCCCTGTAGAGGCCTAGGTGTCCTCGGGCCCGGGATGAGAAGAATTATCCCGGCAAAGCAACCTAACAGCGATGTGTAGAAGCATATATGGAAACATTCCCCTTAAGATCCAGATGAGAATCCAGTTGTAGAATTCTCCTGTTCTCGTAGTCGCAGTCGCATTCGCGATGACAGTCGCAGTGGCAACGGCAGTCACAGTCACAGCCTCAGCCTCAGCCTGCCCCAGTATCAGCCTGCCTCAGCCTCAGCCTCAGCCTGCCTCAGCCTCAGCCTCACCCTGCTTCAGCCTCAGCCTCAGCCTCAGTCTGCCTTCAGCCTCGGCCTCAGCCTCAGCCTGCCTCAGCCTCAGCCTGCATCAGCCTCAGCCTCAGCCTCAGCCTCAGCCTCAGCCTCAGCCTGCCTCCGCATCAGCCTGCCTCAGCCTCAGCCTCAGCCTGCCTCAGCCTCAGCCTCAGACTGCCTCAGCATCAGCCTGCCTCAGCCTCAGCATTAGCCTGCCTCGGCCTCAGCCTCAGCCTGCTTCAACCTCAGCCTCACCCTGCATCAGCCTCAGCCTCAGCCTGCCTCAGCCTCAGCCTCAGCCTCAGCCTCAGCCTCAGCCACAGCCTGCCTCAGCCTCAGCCTCACCCTGCATCAGCCTCAGCCTCAGCCTGCCTCATCCTCATCCTCATCCTCAGCCTCAGCCTCAGCCTCAGCCTCAGCCTCAGCCTGCCTCAGCCTCAGCCTGCCTCAGCCTCAGCCTGCCTCAGCCTCAGTCTGCCTCAGCCTCAGCCTCAGCCTGCCTCAGCCTCAGCCTCAGCCTGCCTCAGCCTCAGCCTCAGACTGCCTCAGCATCAGCCTGCTTCAACCTCAGCCTCACCCTGCATCAGCCTCAGCCTCAGCCTGCCTCAGCCTCAGCCTCAGCCTCAGCCTCAGCCTCAGCCTCAGCCACAGCCTGCCTCAGCCTCAGCTTCAGCCTGCCTCAGCGTCTGCCTCAGCCTGCCTCATCCTCAGCCTCAGCCTTAGCCTCAGCCTCAGCCTCAGCCTCAGCCTGCCTCAGCCTGCCTCAGCCTCAGCCTGCCTCAGCCACAGCCTGCCTCAGCCTCAGTCTGCCTCAGTATCAGCTTGCCTAAGCCTCAGCCTCAGCCTGCCTCAGCCTCAGCCTCAGCCTGCTTCAGCCTCAGCCTCAGTCTGCCTTCAGCCTCAACCTTAGCCTCAGCCTCAGCCTCAG